TGCGCTCACGAACAGTGTTTTCCAGTGTTTACTGCCAGGGCTGGGGGGTGGCCAAGTCAAGTGGTTTCACCCGCCACCTCCCCCTTGGCTTGGGCTCCACTACCTAGACCTGCCAGAACTGGCCCTCTGTGAGGGTCCTTTGCAGCTGCCCTTCCCCCCCTCGCCTGAATCCTGGCTCCTGTCTGTCCGTCTGCGGCCGGAGCAGCCCCTCAGGGCACTGGCCTGAATGGGAGCTACAGCCTCCATTAGCCTCCTGAATTATGCAGCAGCCGTGGTGGGTCGAAGCACTTTATCGGACCAGCTGAGGAGAGGAGCCGGAATGGGTGGGGCCAGTGGGGTGGGGATAGGGTGGGAGGAGAGGATGGGTGTTATGAGCAGAAGCTGCTGGGCACCAGGCCCCCAGAGCAAACCCCTTCCTTCCTGTGGACTTCTGGCCGGCGCGGTTTCTCAGGCTCTTGCCCAGTGAGGGCCATTGCAAGCTTGCAGCTCCCAGGCCCCCAGGAATACAGGCCATCCCCACCATGCCTGGCTCCACAGTGCCCGGCAGGGCTGACAGGCCTGGGGCCACCAGTGGGGTTGCTCACTGGCAAATGGGCTCTAGTGCTGGCCACTCCAGGGATGAAGGGGGTGTGATGGAGCCGCTGGCCTGGCCCACAGGCCCTACTAGACTTCGGGGCAGGACAGGCAGGATTGTGCTTCATAGTGTGACCCTTGCCTCCAACCAGGAGGCTCGTGGGCTCATCCGGGAGAGCTTCCTGGGAGCAACACTTGTGCCCAGGCGTGGCCCTGATATCTGCAGCGTCTCGTCAACACAAGCCCAAATGCTGTCAAGCCCCTCCCCATGTTCTAGGCCTGACCTCTGTCACTGTGTCCCCGCAGGTGCCTTGCAGATTGAGAGCAGTGAGGAGTCGGACCAAGGCAAGTACGAGTGTGTGGCGACCAACTCTAAAGGCACACGCTACTCGGCCCCCGCCAACCTATACGTGCGAGGTAAGGATGCGGGCAGAGCCCAGCCCTGTCTCTGTGGAGCTGAACTGACCCTGCTGGGCATGTTGTCTGGAACACTTGGTGTGGATGGTGGGGGCTGCCGTGGGCCCAGTCTCTCCTCTTCCCACCTCTTCCTGCCGCAGCAAGAACAGCCGCCACTGCTCCCACGGGGCAGGCTCCCTATGTCTGCCGCTACTTTTCCTTCCTTCCCTGCAGGCCCTTTGGGAGGCAGTCGCTCTGGGGAGCATTTGTATCTCTTGTAGGTCCTGCCACGTGGGTCCAGAGCCCCACGGGAGTCTCAAGCCTTCCAAGCCGACTTCTCACTGTCATGTGTGTGTGTGCACACGTGCACAGGCGAGCACACATGATTGTGTGGAAGCAGGGGCATACCGGCCCGGCATTCTTTGAGTCTGTCCTGCCCACCCCAGCAAGGGGGATGGCTCCGGGCCAGGTGAACCTGCCCTCTCGCCAGGTCTGCCCAGGGCCTTTCGGGGGGAGGAGGCGGCTGTGCTCTGTCACCAGCCAGGACCCTTGGAGACGGTCAGTCTGAGGCATCTGTGAGCCCCGACAGGTGCACACCTACTGTGTTTCAGGTGTTTCTTGCTGGGCCTTAATGGATCATGTGTTTTCACAAGTCCAGGTGCCCAGCATAGAGGCCCTGGGGACTGTTTTGGAGTGTCCAGTGTCTGCTCATAGGGTGACCAAAGCTGGCTACCTGCTCCTTCCTGAGGACACCGTGGGTCTGGTGTGCACAGCGCCTGGGAGGGGCCCTGCTTCTGCCCCCATGTCCCCTTATTTAACCCTCCTGCACAGATGAGCATCATTACAAGTGAAACTGTCTCCACTCAGGGGATTTGAAAAGGAAAGCGGACACGACTTCCTTGCAGCAATGACTTCATCATGCTAAGTGCTTAGGGCAGCTTCTCCAGGGGGTCGTCTGCCCAGGCGGTGTCCGCGGCCTGTCCCACTCTTGGGGGCCCCATGGTCAGACGGGGCAGAGAGAATCAGGTCGTCGGCCGCGTAGTTATGGAGGAGCTGCTCTATGTCGGCACAGGTTCCCAAGAGGCCCAGCCTGTGAGCCCGCCGGGTGACTGGCAAATTGTGCCTCAGAGACCACGGAACCATCTTCCTCAGGGTTGGAGGTGTGGGGTGAGACGTCCCCACTCAGCCCCCTTGTCAGATGTCCTCATCAAGACTCGCCTAAGTGGACCCAGCGCCTGTTTTAAGGAGCCGCACCAGAGCAGAGAGACAAGGCGCCTGAGAGCCACCCACAAGGCTGAGAGAGGTGTGAGGTGCACAGCCCCTGCCACACGGCTGCAGGCAGAGATCCTGACTGGCGCGCAGGGGTCTGACAAGGCCCTTCCTAGAGAGGAGCTGCCGAGACAGCCCTAGGCTCTCCTCCCACCGGGACTATCCATTCCAAATGCTGTAGGGTCCTGACTGAACACTTCTTCCAAAAGATCAAAGGGTCAAGAGCATCAGAGAGAAGAGAGGCCCAGCAGAGCCACTGAGAAACCCTTGGTGTCTGGGCATGGTCTGGTCATATGGGCACATTTCCTGGAGCAGAGCTGCAGGAGGCCCTACTGAGGCAGGGAAAGGCCCAGACATAGGTGATGAATCCTGCACTGTTATCTTGAGTGGTTGGTAGTCCCCGAAGTCACCATTGCACTGGCCTCACCCCTGAGGCGAGGCAAGTGGGTCTCTTCAGAGAGGAGGTGAGCTCAGCCAGCGTGACTGGCAGCCAGCACTAACCAGGGAATTCTTCCCTCCAGCCACGCATGGTGGACTCGGGCAGGACCCTGCCATGGCCCATCCCCCACTCCCATCAAGTCTTCCTAAATCACCTTTCCGGCCAATTCCCATGGGGCCAGGGAGTGTGGGAGTTTCTTTAGTTCAGCCCCACTTGCCAGGGACCCTGAAGCAGGCCGTCCCAACCTGGCTTTGTCTGTCTTTTCCTCCCTCACGCACCTGTTCCTGTGCACCCTCATATGTAAGGTTCAGTTCTGAGTTTCTGTCCCCAAGACCTTTCTTATACCCAGGCCCCACCTGAACCTGTACCTGCCCTGTTTGGTCAAGGGCGATTTGCCCTGTAGCCCCAGGACAGGCCCTACAAATGAGACTTTTAGACACCTGGGAAGCCTGCTCCAAGGACTTTTGCATCTCGTGTCCCCACTGCTCCTCATCTCCATCCTGGTAAAGCCCCTGCTTTCCACCCCCAGCAGTGCCAAGGGCCTGTCCACCCCAGCTCCTCTGAGACAGCCTCTCCTGTGCTGGCCACCAGCTCTGTCCTAAAACCTGCTTGTGAGTGGGCCGCCCACGGAGAAACCCCTAGTGCCTGCCTGCCCGCTGCCCGCAGAGCGGTCATGACGTCTCCTCCAGGGCAGACACCTTACCCTCCAGGCCAGTGGGCTCCAACTGTCAGGATCGTCAGCACCTGGGCTGCTGTGGACCCTAGCCCCGGGTTCTCAACCTCGGTGTAGTTGATACTTGCAGCCGCGTGACTCCTAGTTATGTGGGGCTATCCTGGGCATTGTGTGATGTTTAGCAGCACCTCTGGCCCCCTAGATGCCAGCAATACCCCCTAGCCACGACAACTCGCAACCTCTCCAGACCTTGCCCAGTGCTGCCTGGGTCGGGGAGGAACTGCTACGGTAGATGGATGGCCTCCCTGCCAGCATTCACCTCCCTCCGTCTCTCTTCTCCTGCCGTGTCCACTGCACTGAAGGCCATATCTCCTCCTTAGATTTGTTTTCAGCGCCTCCCATCCCTCTTCTGTCCTCCAGAATCTCAGGGCTCCACACTCTGAGCCGCTGCAGCTGAGGCATTTAATGGGACAGCTTGTGTGAAACTCCGGGCACAGGGGCAGGCACACGGGAAATGCTAGATGGCCAGTGACCGCTGCTGCTGTTGGGAGAGCCGTTGGGGGTGCGTCATCCAGTTACACGTGCTTTTGCTCACAGTTGCCCACAGTCCAGCAGGCCCAGGCAAGCTGGGTGGACCAGCCTTTCTGTGTCACCAAACATATCCCTCTCCGAGTGACTCACCCTCTCCTTCCATCCACAGCGTCTCTCTCCTCTAGCTCTCAGGACGCAGAGCTGCCAGGGGCCAGGGTGTGGCCACACCCTACCTGCCCTCAACCTTCCCCCTTCTCTGCAGGGAGCTGGCCGCTGGCCATAGCTGAGCCTCAACGGGGCGGTGTCTCCACAGCCTTTCTCCCCATAGGTGTCCACACCAGCTCCTCACGCTGATGCCCTGTGCAGTATGGGGCTTCCTCAAGGTGGTGGGAATCTAGCGGCCTGTGTGCCTTAGTGGGTTTGTAGGCTGGGTGGGCCCTGACCCCAGAGCCCAGCTCACTGGGTCTGTCGAGCCGTGGGGTGTGCGTGAGGCATGGGGGCCCGCCTGTGCTCCCCTTTCACCCTGCCCTGTCCCACCCTTGGTGTCCCAGCGCCGGCCAGCGGGACCCAGCCCTGTCCACCATGTCCTCCATGAGTCCTGAGTCTTTTCGTGAGCAGCGTGGTCCGCGTGCACCTGCGTGCACGTGCGTGTGCGTGGGGCACAGTCTTGTCTTGTTTCCGTGCTGTGTGGGCAGATGAAGGTTGGCCTGTTTTTACTCTCTCTGTGTTTCTCCTTGTCTTTTTTTTATTCCCTCCTCATCCTCATCGCACTCTGCCATCAACCCAAACTCTCATCTCTCAGATCAGCGAGAAGGTTGGTCCTTTTCACTTCTTATCCATCTGCAGTTCGCCCGTCGACGGGATGCTCCCGTCAGTAGGGCCCAGAGGGCTCGGTCAGCTCCCTCGGGCTCACTCCAGCCAGGCCTGCCCGCCAGTTGGGCTCTGCTCTCTGCTGTTCGGGCCGGCAGGCCGGCAGGACAAGGGGAGGGCGGGCTGGCCCCTTGCCCTGCATGTTTGTGCCGCTTGGGTCCCTGATTGCCACGTGCTGCATGTCCCCTTAGCTGGGCTCCCCTGCTGGGGCGGTCAGGCAGGCATGGTGCATGACACGAGACTCCCCCCCCCCCCTTATGCCTGGGCCGGGCCGTCTGTCTGTTCCAGGTGGGGTTCAGGACTGGTTGGGGGAGCTGAGAGCAGTTGTACCTTACTTGTGCCTGTGGGGCCTTCCCTCCACAACCGTGTCACCTAAGCTCCCACCTTTGCCCGAGCTCAGCTGTAGCCACTGGGAGGATGAAGGGAAAAGGCTAATATAGAATGAGCTTACCCCACAAAGTCCTGCAGGTCTGCACTGACCTTGAGGTCCCCAACAAGCCCGACGGGGCACCCAGCCCCGATGTGCCTCGTCAAGTTTGGTGTCCACAGCACAGGAGGGTGGCATCATCTTGGGTACAGAGGAAACATCCTACACTCTTGTCTTTTCCCCGTTTCCAACCAGAGCTGAATGAAGATCTTCCCACCTTCCCCAGGCCCCTCTGCCCAGGCCCTCCCAGCCTTCTCGCGTTTCCTCAGGCCTGTGCTGGGCGCTGAGCATTCAGGTTCAGGGAGCTCACACCTGACTGAACAGTTGACTGCAACTTGGTGAGGCCCACGTGGGAGCTGGAAGAGGCCCTGGCCCAGCCACAGGTTGGGAAGGACTCCCTGGAGACTGTCCCAGCCCATTCCAGAACATTCTCACATGGGACTCAGTTCTCAGCCCCACCCTCAGGTCCAGACCTCTCCTCCTAGCCTTGGGGCCGGCAGCAGAGGCTGGCACTCACTCCTGTGTCACGTGCTCTCAGTAGTCAGAGGAGACTCACCTGTCCGCTGGGCTTTAGGCTGAGCCCCAGGGAGTGGGTTCAGGCCACCTGGTCCCCTCTGCAGCATCTCCTTGGCTTAGGTTTCCTCCGTGAGGGAGAAGGGAGCCAGTCCAGAGGAGGGCTGCAGCCCAGCTCAGATATCAGCCCTGAGCATCCATCCATATGCGCTCCTGAGCTCTGGGGCATTTCACTTACACCATTTCGCTGACCAGGCAGATCTGCTGGGGCGTCCAGAAAGCAGTCATCAGCAGACAGCCCAGCCTGCCTGCAGCCGCCTCCCCCTACACCCCTTCCCCCACCGTCCTGGTCCCTCGTCCCTTCTCCTTCTCCCCCTTTGTGGTCCCACCAAAAATAAGCACGTATACAAATATTTAACGGGAAGGCAGAGATGAGTTTCTAAATATTCCAGGGGGATTTGCTGGGCTGGTAATTTGTTTGGCGCTGATAATTACATCTTACATTTTTCCAGCTTTACTTAAAACTGTGTGCCGAGCACGCCGGCATTTAATTACTGCTCTGCGGCAGCCACAAGGTTATTTATTAAAGAGTTATTTTATCTTGATACAGTGGATCCTGCCCCTCATCCCCTCCTTAATGTTGTGTTATTTTCATCAGAGAAATTTCTGTGAGTGAATGCAGATTGCGGGGCTGCCTCCCCCTGCGATTAGGCTGTCACTCCATTGAATGCTGATGCCTCTGGGCGCCACACCGCCCTATTATAGGAAGCTGTCAGCGCAAATAATTAGACTTAAAAGTTACAGCTGAAATATAATCCAGAAATGGCAGAGCCCTGTTTTGGAAATTGTCTATAAAATGTCAGCAGTAAAGATGCACGGGGAACAGTAATAGACCGGCATTGTTGGAGCCCAGGATTAGATCCTAAGTGCATTTTTCCTGGCTCTGGTTTTTTTCTTCCCTGCTGTTGCTCTGTCAATAGACTAAGTCCGGGGCGCGTCCTGTCCCTTTGGGAGGCCTTGTGTCTGGGACAGTGGGAGGAGTGACCATGGGCTGCTGCAGGGAGGCACCGGCCCCTCCTGGCTGTTAAGGCGGGGGTGGCTGTCCAGGCAGGTCCAGGGTGCAGGGCCCCACTGCCACTCGGGATCCCAGGAGGCCGTCTCTTACCTCTCTTGCCCCCACCCTCCCTCTGCAGACATACTTTCACTTCCCTGACACTGCGGGGAGGGTGAGCCTGGGCTTGGAGAGCTCCAGAGCTCCTTATGTGTGCCTGAAGCCCCGTGAAAGCATCAAGGGTGCATTCCCAGCAGCCTCGGGGCTTGAGACCCTTGCCCAGGGACTAGGGATGATCCTAAGGGTCACACCTGCCCTCTCAAACTCATCATCGTTCGTTCTGAAGGGCCTCCCCTTCCTGGCGGTGGAACAGAAGACCTTGTGCTCCCGGGGCTATTTGGATAGGCTATAGTCCTATCAGCTTTCTACACTGCTCAGGTTGGGACCCAAGGTTTTTTGGCCAAGGACCTACCTCTTTTCCCTGGGGCTCGTTGTTTTTCTGTCCAGGGAGTAACCAGGCCCCAAGATTCTGCCACTGCAAGGGCAAGCTTGCAGCCATGGTGTCCCCTGGCACAGGCTCTCCAAGTCCCATCCTTCTTTTTTTGTTCTTGAGACAGAGACAGAGACAGAGCGTGAGTAGAGGAGGAGCAGAAGAGAGACAGAGAGAGGGAGAGACAGAATTAGAAGCAGGCTCCAGGCTCTGAGCTGTCAGCACAGAGCCTGACATGGAGCTCAAACTCACAAGCCGTGAGGTCATGACCAGAGTTGAAGTCAGATGTCCAAACGACAGAGTCACCCAGGCACCCTGTCCAAGTCCCATCCTTCTGCCAACCGGAGAATATCTTCTGCTAGCCTTGGCTATCCAGAAGTCCAGAAGCTTCTCCCTGGAGCCTCCCAGTTGTCTTTTTTAAGCTTTATCAGCCAGGGCTCAAAAGGGTGTGAGCTTTTCATCACACAAGTGATCTCCTGGTAATACGTAAACTCAGGCATGTTGCTTAAAAGGATCAGCCTTAGGTCAGTTCTCTTGTCTGTAATTGGGAGGTGATAACATCTCTAGGAAGGAAACCTTGGGCACGTAGTAGATGTTCAAGAGTGGCTTCCCTCCTCGAACCTCTTTCAGTGCCGGTGACCGGGGAGGACATGGGCTGAGAATAAAGACCTGATCAGTTAAGGCTGCTCCCCTGTGCCTGTCTGCTCAAGCCAGGGCTGTAGGGACCCCTCCCTTCATCCACAGGCCTGACCCTGGTCTGCAAATAGACCTGCCAGCTTGTGCCTCTCCTCCCACAGCCTGCCTCCCAGGCCCAGCTCCGGAGCTCAGGGAGGGCCCGCAGCACCAAGCTGGGTGATGATTCTCTCTGTGCCTCTTGGTCTCACTCTGGTGCCATTTGAGGGAGGGAGTGCTCAAAGGGTGCTCTTTCTTGTGGGTTCCTCCTGCCAACTGTGCCCAGGGTCCGCCTCTTCTCTGCCATGCAGAACTCTCTTCTGTGACACATTGTCATTGTGCCATGCAGACTCCCAGCTTTGGGACAAGTGACAGAAACCTACTTAATTGGCTTAAGCAAAGCAAGGATATTCTTGGCTTACCAAACTCCAATATGTAGAGGTAGGTTTGATGTCAGGCAGGGCTGCATCCAGATATTTTAAGTCTGGTCAGGCTCTTGTGTTTGTCTCTTAGTTCTGTTCTCCTCAGTTGGCTTCTTTGTCCTCAAGTATGTTCTCCCAAGTGTTATGAAAGGTGGTCCCAGTCCCTCTAAGGTTAGCCACTGCCGTACAGAGAGAAAGTTGTTCTAATAGTTTTTGCACAAGTCCAAAGGCTTAATCTGATCTGGGTCACATGCCCCGTGTAGCAAGAACAGGAGGAGAGGCAGTTCCCCTAATGAAAATGAGGAAGCCAGTTCTAGAAAGCAGAACACTAGGTGTCCATGAGACCCACAGGGATCCCAAGTGAGCCTGGGGACACAGAGGGAAGTAGACTCAGCCCATGATGCCTATCACCCATGGTTTGCTTGGGGGTTCCTTCTAGAGGCCTCGGAGTGAGGTGGTGTGGACAGACTTGAGGCAGGGGCTGAGTGAGATGGGGTCTGGTCATGTGGTCTGAGGACCCGTGTAGGGGGTTTTTAACAGAGAAGTGACATGAACAGACCTGTGCTGTTTGTGGAGGGGCCTGGAGGAAGCCAGCGTAGCAGTGCAGGGAAAGATGGAAGTGGCCGAGACTTTGGTGGGGGCAGTAGCCTCTGGGTTTAGAAAGAAATTTAGCGGGTTTGAAAGATACTGTAGCCACGCGTTACCAGGACCTGGTGATGTGTTGGGCCGCAGCTTGACCCCTGGGCAGTAAGCTCAGAGGTTGGACCAGGTGGTTTATGCAGCCCGTTCCGGCTCGGATTCTGTGGTTTGGGGCTGTCTGAACAGCAGGGTCTGGAACCTATAGTGGACATGCTCCTGATGTGACAGCACGGGTCCTTTGCATGCCCGGGCTCCCTGGCAAGGGGCCCCGGAGACCCGCATGCACTCTCGGTGCCGCCTTTTGGTCCCTTAGCCTCGCTGCCTGCCCTTCTCCAGCACTGTCTGTAGGGGTGCCCAGGAGGGACACTCCTCAGCCCCTGGCCACCAGCTGCATGACCCATCAGCATGCCATGCATGCCTGCCCCTGGCTAGGTCTTGCCTGCCTTCCCTCCCACTGCATGTTCCAAATGTCTGTGCCCAGCTTCCAACTTTCAGGGGGGTTCCAGGCTGCAACTTGGCCTGAGAAGCTCAGAACTGCTTCTGGCCTGGAAAGCCCAAGGCCAGAGGTCGTGGCCAGGCACAGCCACGCTCCCCCTTGAGACCCTTGTTCATTGACACAGAAGGCCGTCTGTTCGGCGCCCTCATCGTGTTACTGCCATTGTCATGCCCATCCTGCCCGCGGACCACGTCCCTGGCCCGCCCCCCGCGCTCCTGGCCAGCCCCTTCTGAGGGGCAGCCCTTCCCCTTGGGTTCCCAGGCTGTGCCTTGAGCCTGGCTGAGGTCCTAGCAGGTGGTCATGCCCCTTGCCCTCATGTCTCACCTTGGGTCACAGCCTGGAAGTGGAGGCCATGACTCCAGAGAAGGTGGCCATGTCATTCCTGGGCTGACCCTCTCCCCTGCCCCAGCCATGCTCTGATGTCCTCCACCCTAGGGTGCCTGGACTTCTCTCACTGGTGCCCCAGTTAGCCCCTCTGGAGAGGGTCAAGAGCAGGTAGAGGCGGGCACTGGAAGGCAGCCTGGGATGTGGCCCTGACTTGGCCCACAGTGTAGACCTGAGGCCCAAACCTTGCACTGAGTCCCTGTGTGACTCTGGGCAGACAGGACTTTTCTGGGCCTCAGTTTCCTAGGCTGTAAAATGGGGGTTTGGCTACGGAATCTCTTGTGTTCCAGTCTGAGTGTGGAGGCTACTTCTAGCCCAAAAGTGGGGTGGAAGGTGGTATGCTGGGGCTCAGGGACTCCACCCCACCTGTCTCTGAGGTGGGTCTGGCTCTGACAAGTGGGGCTTCCTGGATGAGGGGCCCCTGCCCTTCCATCCTCCAGAGTGTCCTGCCCGGCCTGTGAGTGCCTCTCTCCCTCCTCCCACAGTGCGCCGTGTGGCTCCTCGTTTCTCCATCCCTCCCAGCAGCCAAGAGGTGATGCCAGGGGGCAGCGTGAACCTGACTTGCGTTGCGGTGGGTGCACCTATGCCCTACGTAAAGTGGATGATGGGGGCTGAGGAGCTCACCAAGGAGGATGAGATGCCAGTTGGCCGCAACGTGCTGGAGCTCAGCAATGTCGTGCGCTCTGCCAACTACACCTGTGTGGCCATCTCCTCGCTGGGTATGATCGAGGCCACAGCCCAGGTCACTGTGAAAGGTGAGTGCCACATGCATGCCTTCTGTGGCCCGTGGCCTGCCCTGTCTCACAGGGGGACAGGAGGGCCCAGCACCCATAGCAGGTGAGGATGGCTGTTGTGGGGATGGACGAGGTCTAGGGGTCATTGCTCCCTCCTGGGTGCCTCCTGGGGTCCTCCTGGCCCTCACTGGTGGAGAGAGGGGTTTCTGTCATCCATAGTGTTAGTAAGAACAGCTAACAGGTATTGCATTCCTGTGGGCAGATACCGCGCTGCTAAGCACAGATGACTTTGGTCTGCCTGTGTTACACTGGGGGTGGACGCTCTCCCCAGTCTACAGATGAGGGAACTGAGATGCAGGGTCACATGGGAGTAAATGATAGAGCAGGGACTTGAACCATTGGGGATCTGATGCTACAGTATGACCCCTTAACCACTACACAACACCAGCCCCTCAGGTCTCCCAGCCTCCTGGCAGGAAGGATATGGTGAAATAGTGGTCAAGGGGTCTTGGGCTCTCCACCAGACCCCTGGGATAGACATGCATACTCCTACTCCTCCAGGCTCCCTGCTTCCGCTCCTCCTCCCTCTGTTCGGCAACTGAAATGGTCTTTTGAAGATGTAAAGCAGGTTCTCGCCACTGTCTTTTAAGAGAACCTCCTTCCAGTGGCTTCCCGTTGCTTTTAGGGTAAAGGCCGGGATCCTCACTCACCTCACCCGGCCCTACTGGCACTGCTCGGTTCCGCCGGGCCCTCACCCAGCTCTTGCCATGGTGGTTCTCTCCCAGTCTGGGTCTCAGTTCTGTGAGGTCTTCGTGGACAGTCCCCGGCTCAGCACCCTGCTCTCTGCAGTCCTCGCATGCACCAGAATCATGATTATGGGCTTAGTGCTTCCCACTCACCCTAAACTCCATGAGGGCAGGGATGTGGCTGTGTCCTCGGCCCCCGCGCAGTGCCCAGCACTTAGTAGGCATTTGATAATTATTTGTTAAATGGTCGGCTCTGGGGCTTTTCCGCCTTCAACTTGAGCCAAGCCGCAGGTGTGTGGGGCCCAGAACCCCATCACTTTTTTTTTTTTTTTTTTAATATTTTTATTTATTTCTAGGAGAGAGGGAGACAGCGTGAACAGGGGAGGGTCAGAGAGAGAGGGAGTCACAGACCGAAACAGGCTCCAGGCTCTGAGCTAGCTGTCAGCACAGAGCCCAACGCGGGGCCCGAACCCACGAACCGCGAGATCATGACCTAAGCGAAAGTCGGACGCTCAACCGACTAAGCCACCCAGGCGCCCCCAGAACCCCATCACTTTTTAAACTCCAAGCCTTTCCCTTAGGCACGTGTCTCCCCAACATCAGCCCCAGTCACATGTAGGTGCCCACGGGTGAGCACAGGCAAGCCCCAGAGGCAGAAGTCGGCCTCCCAGCCTGTGTGCACGAGACCTGGTCAGGCCATGCCTCCTCTGCATCTTGTTAGGTGAGGATTCAGTGAGTACTAGAAATGATGTGGGTGGACAGTAGATGACTGAAGGCCCCTGGGGCCCCTGATAGGCGTGGTCAACATCCCCCACTAGGTGCCCTTAGAGGTCACCTTGAGCTTTTCAAGCTGTTCTTCAAGGTGGGCTGTGGGGGTCAACCACCTTCTGGTTGGATAACCCCAAAGGCAGGCTTGGCTTCTGGAGTCATGACCTCAGGCAGTCCTGAGCCTCCCCCTTTCTTCCCAGCTCTGCCGAAACCTCCAATTGACCTTGTGGTGACAGAGACAACTGCCACCAGCGTCACCCTGACCTGGGACTCTGGGAACGCAGAGCCCGTGTCCTACTACGGCATCCAGTACCGTGCGGCAGGTGCGGAGGGCCCCTTCCAGGAGGTGGATGGCGTGGCCACCACCCGCTACAGCATTGGTGGCCTCAGCCCTTTCTCGGAATATGCCTTCCGAGTATTGGCAGTGAATAGCATTGGACGCGGGCCACCCAGCGAGGCGGTGCGGGCACGCACGGGAGAGCAGGCGCCCTCCAGCCCCCCACGCCGCGTGCAGGCACGCATGCTGAGCGCCAGCACCATGCTGGTGCAGTGGGAGCCGCCCGAGGAGCCCAACGGCCTGGTGCGAGGGTACCGCGTCTACTACACCCCCGATTCCCGCCGCCCCCTGAGTGCCTGGCACAAGCACAACACGGATGCTGGGCTTCTCACCACTGTGGGCAGCCTGCTACCTGGCATCACCTACAGTCTGCACGTGCTGGCCTTTACTGCTGTGGGTGACGGCCCACCCAGCCCCACCATCCAGGTCAAGACGCAGCAAGGAGGTACGTGCGGGTGGCATGCTGGGGCGGGCAAGGCTGTGGCTGAGCCTCTTCCATCAGGCCGGGGACTTGGGGGCCATGGGAAGATGAGGGCCTGTATTCCACACGCATGTGGTCACTCAGGATGCAGGGGAGGGGCGCAAGGGTGTCTTCGGCTGCCCTTGAGGGCATCGGTGAGGTTCATGGCACCTGGCGTGGGGATGTTGCAGTGCCTGCCCAACCGGCGGACTTCCAGGCTGAGGCGGAGTCGGACACCAGGATCCAACTATCATGGCTGCTGCCCCCGCAGGAGCGGATCATCAAGTATGAGCTGGTATACTGGGCAGCAGAGGATGAAGGCCAGCAGGTGAGGGCCCTACAGGGGCAGAAGGGAGGGGGGCCCTCCTGACCCCTTAGAGTGACTCTGGTGGGTTCACCCAGGCAGACTCTCTGGATTTTGTGGCTGTACAGACACAGCCCCCAGGGTTCTCCTTGGGGCCCTGGGGCTCATGCGGCCCATAAGGTCCTGTAGTCTTTGTCACCCCCGTGCCAGGGGCAGGGCCTGTCCTTGGGTCTGTCCTTGGGTCTCTTAGGTTCTGTGGCTTACACGGCACCGACAGAGCCCTCAAGTTCCCCACTGGAGCCACTTGTGCCAGGTGTTCAGGGCCATGTAGTCTGTGCGA